TTACTATCAACAGCTGTTATTTGACAGTTCGTTAGAGAATGTTTGCGATTTATGGAATTTTAAGAATGTTAGGAATGTTGACTTAGAAATAATTGAAATTCCTAAAATTGTAACATAAGAAATGCATATGCGGATTTTAAGAAAATTGATTATAAAGTAGTTAGGATAAACCGAAAATTCTGAAAATCAATAGGTTTCTAAGTTAGTGGTAATTATTCAAGAAACTCAAAACCGCAAGTCAATCAGAACTTTCGTTCTCGAGTTATCGTGCCGGCATACATACATACAGACTACCAGACGAAAAATTTTTTTTTGCATTTTCGGACTCAGAATGATCGGAAACATGAAAAAAGGTTTTAAAAAAGGGGGGAAAGAAAATTTTTTCGTCTGCACGAATGCAATACTGCGGCACCATAGGAAGGGCCTCAGTAATTTCGATGTATGATTAAACCAAAAAAATTAAGCAACTAATTTATAATATCTTTGAATATTGTTCTTGATTTTTAAAGTAAAAATGTCAAATTAAATAAAGAAGTGTCAGTCATCCATAGCCAACTTAGCTGGACCGTTAGAAACTTAAATAATTTTTGTCAACAGGCAATAAGATTTCACAATAATTTTTATTAATATAATATTTAAACTTGATTCAAATAACTATAAAAATATATGATTAAATTGAAAAAAATTAAATTAAATTAAATATTTAATATACTCATTATTATTTTTATAAGAACTGTCAATACTAAAACTTAAGAACGGTAGTAGAAAAAATATTTTTTTTTACAATTGGTATATAGAAAGATTAATTTTTTTCACAGATTACTTGCATTTGATAGATATTTATAATCAGAGCCGTATGTTAATAAGTCATTCCAAGTACGGACTTCATCAAAATATTCGTCGATTAAATGGTAAAAAGATTCTGTGAATATTGGTTCAATATGTTGATTGAACGCGAGAGGTGTCTGAGAATGAATGTTAAAAAGACAGGCTAATAGATTCGTGAAACAGCAGTGTGCCTGCTTGAAACTACGCTATTTTTATCATCATTTTGTGCATCGCACGTAGATTACGTCACGATAGTTAACTTCGTTTGGTCCAACGCGATTAGTTGTCGTGCTTCGTCAAGGTCATTCTGAGCCTTTAATTCAACGTTGCCATATTTGGCTATTTTGACTAGTATTAGTAGATAATTTTCTTTTGGTAGATTTCAGTAGACTTCTATAAATTAATAAAAAAATCTAATTACTCAAATAAAACTTCCTGCTTAAATAATTTTGTTGCCAGAAGAGATTGCTAAAAACATTAAGGCCTGGCGATCAACAAAATATATTATCAGTTATTTTCGTCTAGTAGATTACTTAAAAATAATCCATTCTTTACGATTTATCGATTATTTTCGATTAATCGATTATTTTCGATTAATCGATTATTTCCGATTAATGAATTATTTTCAATTAATCGATTCGTTTCGATTCGATTCCTTTCGATTCTTTTCGATTCTTTTCGATTCTTTTCGATTCTTTTCGATTCTTTTCGATTCTTTTCGATTCTTTTCGATTATTTTCGATTATTTTCGATTATTTTCGATTATTTTCGATTATTTTCGATTATTTTCGATTATTTTCGATTATTTTCGATTATTTTCGATTATTTTCGATTTTTTTTGATTATTGTCGATTATTTTCGATTCTTTTCAATATTTACTCCTTTTTTATATTCATTTTAAAATTTATCTATTTCTTAAAATAATGTGAACGTAGAAAAATTAATGTGTGTAATTCAAGCTCATAATATATAGCTATTATGCACCCCCAAAAAGTATTATTGTTATTAATGAGCAAATTTTTTTTGTTACAGTTTTACTCGTTCATGGAGCCATCCAGGCAAGCCAATTTCACGATAGAAAACAAGCAGTGTACGATATTTGCACCGATCAATGCGGCTTTTCAAAAATTGGGCGACTACAAGGGCGAAACCGAGCCACTCATCCTCTATCATATGAGTAAGTAATAGTGTAAATTTCTACGATTCGGTCGTAAATTTCTGCTTTATGAATAATTAATAGCCATCATTATGTGCTCGTTGAATAATATGCTATTTTAATATTTAAAAATTCAACGTATTAAATTAAATAAGCGACAGTCATAGCAATATTATTATAGGTCTGTAAACAATGACAAATTTGTTTAATAATACTAATATAGACCATAAGGTATAACAATACATACAAGTAAAATATGTCTCCTAATATTATCTTGCTCTACTATAACAGAAAGAATACAAAATTAATACAACACCGGATTAAATTAATTTTCCCATAATTTAAAAATTTAAATAAAAAAAAATTAATGTACAATGTATTTACATTGAATATGTGATATGGAAACACCCAGTACAAAAATTTTATTTTCAATATCTTTTTTCCAAAATTCACAAAGTTCTCAAAACAAGTAAATACCAAATTAAAAAAAAATACAATTTCTTCTCTTTTCCCTGTTTATTCCTGGTCTACTCTGATCCCCGTTTACTTCCCTGGTCTACTCTGCCTAACGTCTATTTTCCTTGCAATAAAATATTCCTTTTTTTACCTTTCTGTTTTTATTCAATTTATTTAACTCCAACCATAACAACTTTTCCAACAATCTTATTTTTCTAATTATTTTCTCGTTTACTAACAAAAATTTCCTTTTGACATTTTTTATTTCCATTTGACAATTTTTTTAAATTAACAATCCAACAAAACCTATCCTGATTATTTTACTTTCAGTTTTGATTTTCAATACTGCATAGTTCAATTTCAACACATTTTGATGACGTCAGCCCCGAGATAAACAAGTTTTATTTAGGGAATAAACATACTATAATACTTTGATAATACTTTGATAATATTATATTATTGTCCAATCCTTTTTGATAACAAAAAATAGGAATTGACAACAACCTGAAACTTATTTTAGTGATTGCTTACTTATTACTACAGATGCATCCTGTTATAACTAATTACACTATAACATTCGTGATAAACCTGATTAAAAATAATAAAAAAATATAGGGACTTGCTGATCAAATTCCTAATTTTCCAACTGACACACTCTTTAAACACAAAGACAACAAATCTAAACCACACAACTCTGAAAGTAATAATTATGAAAATCGCATATTTAAATTTTTAAGGAAAGCAACTTTTCTTTCTTACTTGTTCATTTTCGGGGTAAAAGTCCTGATGACACATGTCGCTAATTTGGGCCAGCTGCAAAGGACTTTTGTATCATGATACTATTTTGTATTTGCCCTTTGGCAGAGGTGGAGGCCGAAACACCAAACAACAATAATGCTTTGAAAAAGTAATCAAATACTATCCAAGGCATAATAAGCTATGCCTATTAGAAATCCTGCCCACTGAGGCTGGTCTAACACAGTCAAAACACACGGCAAAGAAATTCTTTATGAAGCAAGAACCACAGAACTCAAAGAGGACTGAGACACTTACAAATCTCACCTCACAAAAAAATCCTTATCCAAAAACTTTAGTATTGGTGCGCTAATCAAAGAAAACTGCAAACCTCGGTTAGCATCAAATTTCTGCTGTCAATACACTCCCCTGACTGGCTCATCACAGTCGTGGCCAACTAGGCAGAGGAAAAATTTAGATCAAAGATGTTTCTCTGATGACAATGACACACCTCCGCACGTGTGGAATAGAACCTGATGTAGGATGTGGTGAGGCGAGACATCACTTTTGACAGAAGGCGCTCGATACGCTCCAACTGCTTCAAGCGAACATGGACTCAATCTCACCGAGACAATGTATATCTTCCATAAGCTATATAAAGTTATAACAACAAATAGAAGAGCCGAAAGTGGCAGGTACGATTCATATCCAAACAGACGGTTCTAAAACAAATCAAGACTCAGAATGTGGAGTAAACTGTAAATACTTCGACATAAACATAAAATGTGCTGTAGACAATAGTATATTAGTATAACTCAACCCAAGCTCACGGATATTCTCATAGCAGCAACAATATTACTAGTAGGAACATGCTCATCTATACAGATAGCAGACAAGCACTACTCTTCCTGGACAGACCACGAATTTACTGAAGGTTAGTACTAAAATGTCACGAAGCTTTGGCCAAAGTATCCATCTCATCAACAATATGGTCACCTTAAGATGCATAAAATGTCACACCATATTGAAAGTTTTTTTTTGCCCTTCTTCTGTTTGTCCTTTCTTCGTCCCTTTGCTTTTTCCTTTTTTAAGCCAGAATATTTATAGGTATTGTTCTCGCTATCACCTGCGCTGCATTTCTTTTATATTTTGCCATATTTACTCAGTCTATCCATACCGAGGCTTTGTATAGTAAGATGGAATTTACTACGCTGCTAAGAAACCCCCTTTTTTGTTCTTATTCCTAGGTATTTTAGACTGTTGCTAGTCTGTACCTGGGTGTCGTTGACTGTGATAGTGGCATTTCTATTTGTTCTTCTGCCGGTTAGGACTAATGCTTCAGTTTTGTGCGAGGCTAGCTGTACGTCATTCCTCATCATCCAAATTGCCTATTTTATCTTTTCTTCTATAATTTCCCTGTCCTCTCCACACGTTATGAGAGCCAGGTCGTCAGCGTAACCTATGGTGGTTATATCATCTGGTATCTCTACCCTAAAAATATAGAACACATTCCACAGGAAGAGCTTGAGCACCGAGCCCTGTGGCACTCCGCATGTCATATCCATCTCATCGTTTTCTCCGACTAGGACTGTTCGGTCCTTAAGGTAGCTGCATATTAGTCAGTTTTGTGCTGGGCTAGGTGTAGGTCATTCGTTGCCATGACTGCGAATTTATTGGCGGTGTTAGCTTCTGGTCTGGTTTTCTTGATCTTTTTTATAGCATCTATAGTTAATAGAGTATATTTAACAGATACAATGGCCTGTATGACTTCCTTACCGCTGGATTTCTTGGTTTTTCTATTAATATTAGCTTTGCAACCTTCCATTCACTGGGAAAACTTTTGTTTTTTCTTGTTATTTGCAATTGCCTCCAATAACCTCGGTTTCAAGTCGCAAATTACCTTTATTATTTCGGGTGGAATCCCTTCAAAGCCCGCTGCTTTGCCTGTCTTTATCCTTTGTCCTGCATCCATTATTTCTTGTCTCGTACAGTTAGGTAGATCCGCTTCGTTTATGTCCAGATTACTCAATGCTTTAACTCTGCCCTCAGGGAATAATTCCCTTGCCAGCATCTGCTGTGCGTCAGATAATGTCAGTGGAGATCGCAACCCGAGCTTTCCTATTACAATTTTATATCCCTTGCTCCAGGTGTCTGTATCTATGTCTTCACAGAGTTTCATCCAAGCCTCATTTTGTCCGTTTTTACCGCTCTTTTAAGATTTTTGCGACATTCTTTATATCTTCGTGCTGTTTCGGTTTTTATTTCTTCGCAACTACAGTACTTTTGATTTGTTCTTGTTAGTTCCCTTTTTGTTTGGTTGCATTTGCTTCTTATTTCTGCGATAGCTTTACTATTGCTCATTCTTCTCTTTATTCAATTTCAATCCGAATTTTGCTTTTCTTTTTGATGTCTCCTTAACTTCATTCACTATTTATATTTCAATATTTTTTTTATAATAGCTTAGATTTTCTCCTCTTGGACATACAAATTTTTCACGGACCTCATCAGATTGGGCAAAGGTAACCGTCTTGCTGATTCACTGGCGAAGAAGGCAGCCAACTAAATACTTTTTTGACCTGGCCCTTCTATTGGACTGACAACATCGGTAGTAACAAACCTAAATTAAAAACATTTCCTTGTAAAATTCAAGGAAAGAGGATGAAAAAAGAAGTTGTAGAGTTCTCAGGGAGCTTTTAAGGTGTTTTGACAACACTACAGCAAACAACTACTTCACTATGACTAGACATAATCTGCGCCTGATCATAGGTATTCTGACTGGTCATTGCTAAGTACAGAATCATCTCCTTTGCATGGAGAAGTCAGAATTCGTACTCTGTAGGGGCGCGAACAAGAAGATGAGACCACCTACAATTGCCCGACGCTCTCATTTATTAGAAAATTTGTGTTTGGCGAGAATTGGCTAACACCGGCCGATATAAAAGAAGCACCTCTTGGAGACTACAACTACATTAAATTTGTAGGCGCTCACGAGCTAGGAGGTGCCTATCAACTGAGGAGGATGCACACTGGGCCTAGTGAGACCTTATTTCCCTAGATTAACCCATCCTCCACTCGTTACAGATACAAGATATACCATCTGGCTGACAACTAATTCACCAAAAGTCAACTTTCGTATCTCTACTGTCAATTTTATTTTATACGTAGTGACAATTCAAAACCGTTTATTTGAATTTTACTAATTACAGTAACGTTGTACAATGTGACTAAAAAAACATACAATTATTTATTTTTTCCTTAGTTTACTCATCCGTAAATATTTAAAAATGCTTTATGAATTTTGTTATTATTCTAATAATCTGTACCTGTAGATGCCTAAAATTTTCACTTTTGCATTAAGAATACAAAAATAAATTTTACTCGTACAAAGTTTTCTATCCGTTATAAACAGCAAATATTTTAGAACTAAAATTCATGACAATAACTTATGCGTTTTTTATGTTTAAGGTAGGTAAATTTTTTATTAATTTTGATAAAGGTATAAGATTTACGAGCCCTTTTAATTTCTTTTTCAAGTTTTCAAGACTATTCCATTAGAAAATTCTTTCGACAAAGTTTCTCCACTTTTATATAAGAAAAGAAGGAAAACGAGGCAGTTTCAGTTACAGATACGCCCCAAAGTTATGAATATTTATGATATCCCTTCTGGGGGATGGAATATGTTGTACCATATATCATTCGCCTTTTCGGTTTATTATTGAATTTAGAAAAGTATAACTGTTTATATCTCCGGTTTCTTTTTTTCTAGATTTATGTACCGGCAAGTTTTATTTATATCAATGTATTGTAGAAAGAAATAGGATATTTTTTATAGAATTCAGGCGTTATACACCGTGACCCAAAGTAGTGAAACCTTTAAATATCTTATATATAATAGATTACAGGGTCCAAATTGATTTTGGAATGCTTGATTTAGATAATAACTATGATTAAAAATAATTGATCTCGACTGTATTGTAAAGATTTTAGTTTTATTAGAAGTTTTAGCAATAATTCTTTGTTTAATTATTTTTTGTTTAGATGTCTTTTATTTCTGTTTTTGTTTTTATTTTAAAAGCTTTAGAATTATTATTTTAAAGCAACCAGAAGAGAAATTATAAATATGCATTCAGTTTTTGCGTGCGGAAAAGGCAAGTGTTAGGAACAAAAAATTTTCTACAAGCTCCATATCAGATAACAGAAATAAAAAATGATAAATAATGTATTCAATAATTTTAATTTAAACTTAAATGAAAGAACTATATAACAAAATATTATGTAACTATAAAAAAATAATAATAGAACATTAAATTATCAATTCATAATATGAATAACTAAAGAATAATAATAATTGAAATTTTTCAAATTGATTGAAGATCCGGTCAGTTCATTTAATGGATGGTACGGCACCCGGTGAATGACATTTTACAGGTGTTTCAACTCTTTTTAAAATATGGCACCAAAAACAGCATAGTATATAAAAAATCTACCAGATATCGGTAGAAGATGAAGTACCTAAAATGAAAACAAATAATGACTGCGAACTATCAGAAAAATTCAATTAATTTTATCTTAATCGAATTAATAATACGTCTGTATCCAATTTTTTTTTTTTAATAATGGTAATTTATTAATATCTACTAATCATACACTACATAACAAACGAAATGAAAAGTGAAAATGAGAAGAAAAATACTATACCACATACTTATATACCACCCATATATTTCATCAAAACAAATAAGAAAAATAGTGTGTATTCTTTCCTACAAAATTGTAAATATTATTGAAATGGATTTTGAAAAAATAAGTGTTAAGTGTCATTTTGATGTTATGTTTACAGAAGAGTAGGTATTAAATTGTAACTGCCACATTTTAGATAACTAATAAACACATTAAAAAAATTCATGCTTATTTTGTTACCAGTCCTCAACAATTTCACATAGAGGGATCTCCTAATTGTAATAAAATGTGGTTCTTACGAGGAAAATTGATGAAAAGGGTAGGTACAAAAATGATCTGTAAACCTTAATTACCTACTATATGAATAAGTGTTGTAGTAAAACTTTTTATTAAATATAAACGCAGAAAATTGTTTTCAAATAGATTTATTAACTTATACAACTTTAATCATTCACAAAATAAATCAAAGGTTTGTAGGTGTAACTACACACAGATTGATAAAGAAAAACGAAGGATAGGTAGGTCTTTTCAAGTGTGGAAATTTTATTAGTATTCGCCAAGAGCTTGCATTAAAAAATTTAATCGTTTGTTTTCGCGCAATTAGGCATATGTTCGGTGCCATATTATTGATGAATATTCTAATTTTGTTCTAACCTAAAGTATAAGAAAGTTAATGCCGAGAGACTATTGAAATTTTTACAATTCCGGATTATAAAACCATATATGCACGGTACGCTGAATTCACAATAGAGTTAATGTGGTAGTTAAAAGTAACATCCAACTCTTTGATAGTGTCAGGTCGCTCCAAAATAATTTTATCAATGGAACAAGAAAAATGCATATAATTATGTTTGCGGCTATAAGCCACAATTTTACATTTAGAAATATTTAAAAAGAGGCCATTTTTGTAACAATATTCCTGAAATAGATTAATTTGATTTTGCAATGTTAAACAATCAGCTGTACTAGAGCTACTAGTATATAATTTTAAGTCATCTGCAGATAAGTCACATAAGTCGTTAATAAATATGAAAAATAATAATGGCCCTACATTGGACCCTTGAGGAACTCCACTAGTTGAAGTAAAGTAATTAGAATTAAATCCGTCATAACAAACATTTTGTTTGCATTTAGGTATGATTCAAGAAAATGTACACAAGATATTAAAACCTAAACTAGAATTATTTTGTGGCTGATTTTATCGAAAGCCTTAGAGAAATCGGTATACAGTGCATCAACCTGTCTTCTACTATTTAATAATTCACAGAGATATTGAATAGATAGATATTAAATAGATTTCTAAAAGTTGAATGAGAAGTCGTGAATCCATGTTGATATATAGATATAACATTTTTAGCAGATACATAGGATATAGTGCTATTTGCGTACGTCCCATTTGCATACACGGTCAATTTTGTCACATTTGCGTACACGGGTTAGATCATCTCTTGAGTTAGGTAAAAGTATTACGATATATAGTCCTACTTGCGTACATATACAGTTATACTTAATTTTATTTTTAAAATTTTCCTTCACACTTTTTCCAGGCTTAGGACTGGCAGCGATTTGCTGGCGTGTTTAAAAGTTTTTTTTGTATTTATTTAAGTTTTTTTGTATTTTTTTAGTTTTTTGTTTTTTTTTTTGAGTTTTTTTTTGTTTTTTAAGAATTTACAAAAAGAATGGTATTTACAGAATATTTACAAAATGCAGAGCCATACAGTCGGTTACTCTAACTTAGCGACGTAAGCTAGAGAAGTTAGGCATTTTTTAACGTCTTTTGTTTTTGTATATGCCGCTATTATTTTATTAATTCTAATGTCCAACTTGACGTATTTTGTTTTTCTTCTTGTTTCCTCCAAATTTAATTCTTTTCGTTTATAAAGAAAATCACTATTTTCTGCTTCTTCTTTTAAGTGTTTAATGTAAGATTCTAAGACAGGCGGTGGTTTCTTTTGACCAGATGATGTAACTTGTTCCATCCCTCCACGACGTTATTTGTACGATAGAGCTTGTTGCTGTAGTTCCACATATCTGGCGTATTTTATAGCCACTGATCCACGAAATAATCGTAGAACTTTTGAAGTATTTCGTTAACGGGTGAATTTTCTTGAATAGTTAGCCAACTGATATCCAAATCTTCAAGTGGAATATACGCCAAAGCAGCACACATACGAATATGTAGTCGCAGTTCATCATCGTGCCGGTATTCTACAACTAGGCCCAACTGTTGTACTTTTCGCCATATACATTGATTGTAGTGGAAATGACAGCCATTTATTGCAACGTTAGGAACACATTCCTTATAGCTATAATCACTGCTTCCTCGAAGTCTACAGTTACTAATATTGGTTTCCAGTTTGTGGATCTTTTTATTATCGTAAATAATCTCTCATATGTAGAGCGAGTTTTGTTCTTGAGTAGTGCATAAACTACAGGAATTACGTTTCGCTCGTCTGTATTGCTTCCAATGTCCGCATGTATTATATAAAGTTGAGTAAA